CCCGAGCCGCCACCCGACGGCACGCGGCTGCACGTGCGCCCCGGCCGCGCCCCGCACGGGACCCTCGCCGCTGCGCTGACGGCCCGTCTACACCCGCGGACCTCGGCCAGGCTTGGCCCTCTGAGCGCGGCTGGAGTGCGCCACGTGCGCGTCGCAGGGGACCTCGGTCCTCAGGGGCCAGGAGCACCTTGCGCGTCACTTTTCTGCATTCTCTCTACGAACATCGCACGCTTTGCGTAGGGACGGTGGGGTCGCTTCCAGGGACAGCGCTGCCCAACCCCCGCCGAGTTAGCACTAATCCTCGGGGGAGAGCAGCCTCCCGCGGTGGGGGACCAGGTCTCCCCGCCCTGCCCAGCCACCCACACCCAGGACCGGCCGCGGCGGGCCGCGCCACTTCACCCCCTGTTGCGCGGGGTTCCAAGGAGAAGGCTCAGGTATGGCCGGGTATGGCCGAGTACGGCCGAGGCTTAGCGCACGCACCTGGCTGCGGAGCAAGGTCTGGCCTGCGGGTTCCAGGCCCAGGCTGCGCAGCGAGGGGTGGTGGAGCAGGATACTAGCAGGCAGTCGGGGAACTGCACCCCATTTCCACCACTAGATGGAAGGGCGCGCTGTTGTGACCTTCGGGGTTTTAGGGTCGGGGTGGAAGCGAGTCTGAATCTGTGCAGATGGGAGCACTTTGTGCACAACTGTGGGGCCTTTTACGTTAAAAGACGCCCTTGCCACCCCGCTTTGAAGCAGTTTAAAAAATTTCTTAGTTTAAAAAAATTTAAACTACCCGGGCGCGATGGCGCGCTCCTGTAATGCCAGCGGCTCAGGAGGCCCAGGCAGGAGGATCGCGAATTCAAAGTCAACCTCAGCAATTTAACGAGTTCCTTTTCATTAAAAAAAATGAATGAGCAGCAGGGACTCCTGCGCAGTTCTAAACCTTCACGTAGGAGCCTTGGAAATGAAATGGGGCAGGCCACCTTCTGGTGGTGTTTGGGTGGTGTCTGGTGACGTGGGAAGAGGAGAGAAATGCCAGCTCACCTTGAAAATACATCTTGGCTTTTTTTTTTCTTTAAAGCTTTATTGAGATAATTTACACATCATAAAATTCAGGAGTTTCAAGTGTATACTTAAAATTTAAAACGTATTTAGTGTGTTTACAATTATCAACGAATCTAACTTTAGAACACTTCCATCAGCCCCAAAGAAGCCTGGCGTCCATCAGCAATGACCCCTCCCCAGCCCTGAGCAGCTACTCACGTACTTTCTGTCTCTGGGGATTTATTCATTCTGGAAGCTTCACATAATTGTGACCAGGTAATATATGATCTTTTGTGTCTGGCTTTCCCTCCCAAGAATCCTTTTTTGGATTCACCCACGTGGTAGTATGTATCAGCGGTTGGTTCCTTTTATATAGCCCAGTGACATTCCATTGAATAGATATACCACATTTTATTTACGTATCCACCAGTTAATGGACATTTGGGTCATTCCACTTTTTAGCTATTAGAAACAAGGCTGCTATGAACAAATCTTTGTGTGGATATGTGTAATTTGAGTAGTTACCCAGGAGTGTAGTTGCTGGGTCACTTGGTAACTCACTGTTTTAACTTGAGAAACTGCCAAACTATTCTAAAGCAATACCACGATTCCTGTTTCTTCAAACCCTGGACACTGTTTTAGTCTTTTTGTTGCTGTTGTTGTTGTTGTTTTGGCTTATGACAATCTTAGCGGGGAGAAGTGGTGACATTGTGGTTCTGATTCGCATTTCCCTAGTGGTTAAAGATGTAGAGCATCTTTTCATGTGTGTATTTGTATGTTTTTGGAGCTGTGTATCAGATTCTTTGTCCAACTTTTTAAGTGGTTTTTTTCTTCTGTGTTATTGATCTGTTATTGAACATGTAAGATACTCTTACATCTCTTTAAAAACACAAATAAGACGTTCCTCCAGACCAAGCTATAGAGTGGAAGGAAGCTCAGGACTTTGTAGTCACGTGGTTTGGAGTACAAACCCAACAAGGGGCTGGGGCTGGGGTTCAGTGGGAGAGCACTTGCCTAGCACGTGTGAGGCCCTGGGTTGGATCCTCAGCACCACATAAAAAAATAAATAAAATAAAGATCTTGTGTCCATCTGCAAATAAAAATAATATTCAACACAAAACAGGCTTCGTCTCCATTTGTGAACATAGATACTAAGTGGTCTTGGAGAAATGACCAACTTATTGTCCTTGAGCCTCTAGGACTTTGTGTGTAAAATGGGGACGTGCTACTCCATGAGGGTTAAATCAATGTGTGCATTAGCTCCTTTGCCGTGGCAGGCCAGTAAAAGCATTTTACAGATTACCGCTGGGCCTTTGTTTGGACGGTTTTGGTGGCCGCCCTGTTCAGGAAGCCATAGACTTTTCCAGGGATTGCCAGGAAATCAGGACTAACACCTTACAGCCCACATTCTGCCCATAAACCTCTTGGGTTTTATTCATCCATATCTAAGTCTTTTAATTATCTTAACCACTTTTCGTTTTATTTAGATTTATTTGCAGCTACAGCCATTTTCTCCCACAGCTGGGAACAATTTAGAGGAAAGCATTTCTGTTTTATTCTAAAATGTAATGTTTTAATTTATATTTCATTTACAGTAAAGGAAAAATACAGCTTTGGAATGACTTTGAGTCTCCTTATTTGTAGGAAGAGATCAAAGGCTTTGGGGTTGCCTCTGTATCTTCTATAAATTCGAGCAAATCATTTGATGACCCTGAGCTTCGGGTTTCCCATTTGTAAAGTGGGAACATAGGTGCAGAGTACTTGCTTAGCCCTGGGTTGGATCAGGGAGATGCCACTGAAAGCCACAAAAAAAAGTCACCGGGTGACAGCCCTTTAGGGCGCTCTCACTGTGGCGGGGCTCTGAGAGCCTCATCTTATTTTGCCCTCGTGATCTGGGATCTAGGTGTTTTGATCCCTGTCTTACAGACAAAAAGTGACAGGGCCTTCATGCTGGTGTTGGAGCTGCGTCTGCCAAGCCCCACAGCCACTCCGCAGGTGTGGGGCCTGGGTTTCCTGTTCCCTGCTGCAACTCGGTGGCTGGGACAACACTTGCAGTTTTGCAGGTCAGAAGTCTGATACAGGTCTCACTGGACTAAAATCAAGGTGTCACCAGGCTGCATTCCTCCTGGGGGCTCTATGGGAGGGCCTGGTTCCCCGCCTTTTCCGGCTTCCCCAGGCTGACCAGGTCTTTGCTGGGGCCTCCCTTCACCTTCAGAGTCCTCAGGCCACATCACTTCGGCCTTGCTTCTGTTCTCCTTGTCTGACTCTCCTGCCTCTGCACATTTGAGGAACGCTGTTACATGGGATCTGTGCAGAGCACCCTGTTGTAAGGTCAGCTGATTGGACACCTCAACTCCCCTGCCCATGAACCCAAACAGGTTCACAGGGCCCTGAGATCAGTACACGGACCCTCTGGGGCCAGAATTCCCTACGTGCCGCAGAGCCTTTCAGGGGTAACCCTGGACGCCTCTAACCGGGTTGCTGGGACTGCAGGAGCCCCATGGGAAGGCAGGGGCAGCCTGGGAGTCCCTACCCTTTGCTGATGAGAAAGGCTCCCCCAGGCCCGCCCTGTCGTCCTCCTGTTCCAAACGCACAGTGTGCAGAGCAGAAGAGTCAACTCACACCTTCTGCCTGTCACTCCTACCCCTGAGTGTGCAGAGCTGAAGAGTCACCCCACACCTTCTGCCTGTCACTTCTACCCCTAAGTGTGCAGAGCTTCAGATCACCCCACACCTTCTGCCTGTCACTCCTACCTCTGAGTGTGTAGAGCTGAAGAGTCACCCCACACCTTCTGACTGTCACTCCTACACTGGAGTGTGCAAAATTGAAGAGTCACCACACACCTTCTGCCTGTCACTTCTACCCCTAAGTGTGCAGAGCTTCAGAGTCTCCCCACAGCTTCTGCCTGTCGCTCCTACCCCCGAGAGTGCAGATCTGAAGAGTCACCCCACACCTTCTGACTGTCACTCCTACACTGGAGTGTGCAAAATTGAAGAGTCACCACACACCTTCTGCCTGTCACTCCTACTCCTGAGTGTGCAGAGCTGAAGGGTCACCTCACGCCTTCTGCCTGTCGCCCCTACCCCTGAGTGTGCAGAGCTGAAGAGTCACCCCACAACTTCTGCCTGTCACTCCTACCCCTGAGTGTGCAGAGCTGAAGAGTCACCCCACATCTTCTGCCTGTCGCTCCTACCCCTGAGTGTGCAGAGCTGAAGAGTCACCCCACATCTTCTGCCTGTCGCTCCTACCCCTGAGTGTGCAGAGCTGAACTGTCACCCCACACCTTCTGCCTGTCACTCCTACCCCTGAGTGTGCAGAGCTGAAGAGTCACCCCACACCTTCTGCCTGAGGCTCCTACCCCTGAGAGTGCAGAGCTGAAGAGTCACCCCACACCTTCTGCCTGTCACTCCTACCCCTGAGTGTGCAGAGCTGAAGAGTCACCCCACACCTTCTG